TTTTTGACCTACTAGAAAAACTAGCTCTCATGATTCACCCTAGAAGCAGGGATCACATCTTTTGTGATAAATTGTTGGTTTGCTATATGTTTTCAGATGTCCAACAGTCCAGACAGTGGGCTTATGGGAAATTGTGTCCATTTTGTCCATCTTGCTCACTGCTCTTTCCAGGACCTGCCTGACTCATGCTTGGCATTTGAGAAGTGCCAGTGGAATGACAACCTCAAAAGCTTTTATTGCTTTGGTTCTTTCCTCTCATCTTCATTTCATTTTTGTTGTCCCCTTCATCATCACGATTTTTAGGAGAACCACTGGATAGACAAAAGTAGTTATGAAAGACACAGACTCATCAGTGATAATTGCAACACAATCAACTATTTGACTGCCAGAGAAGAACCCTTTCAAGTAATGAAGGCATTAATTAAGAACATGCCCCTTCTAAGATGACCGCTCATTTTAGAAACTTGAAAATGTGAAAAACATTTGGGCTCCCCACCAGCACACAGTGATTTTGGCTAGAATGTATGTGGTACTCAGAATGCCATCCTCTCGGATTCTTATTTGAACAGTAAACACATTTTTAAAACACATCGTGTGGTCTCTAAAAATAAGCGATATTTTAAAACGAAAACCAGTGCACAAGTAGTTGGCACATCTGGTAGTCAGAAAAGTTGTATGGTTTGTTTTTAGGGAATGACAAGCCAAGAAACATTCAAACTGGGCCAATTGCAAACTTCTCCTCTATCTGTGATGACACCTGGTTTTAAAAAAATTGGCTCCAGGCTCAAAGCAGAAAGAACATTGGAAATGGGCAAAGAATTCAACAGCATCATTTACTATCTTATTTTGTGCAAAGAATTATAAAGAACTGTGTTCTTATTTTAATAAAGAGAGCGGGGGTGGGAAAAAGCAAGGGCAGACATGAAACAATAACAATTCCAGTATCAGCTGGAATTGAGTACCTACTGTGTGCACGGAATGTGCTGAGTCTTTTATATATGTTGCTAATACTAGATGCAAAACAACCTTATTACATAGTGTCAGTTTTCTTTCTGCTTTGCAGACGATAAGACATAGAGTGAAGGCACACACATGTTTAGTAATTTGCCTGAGTCATACAACTAGCCAATTCCAGGCAGGCTGTCTCCAGAGTCTGCACTCCTCAGGACTACCTGATTCTGAGTAGCCTGGAGGCATTCATTATGTATGTCTGGCATAAAGAAAAGAATTAGATGATTGTGTGGAGCACAGTGGCTCTTGGTCAGACTATTGTTTGCCTCACCTGTGAGAGGGACGATGCCATTTTTCCAGAACATCCTCATAGCTGTGTACAAACATTAAATGTGCCTGAGAAATTCACCATTCATTCACATGCTTGAAGGCCATCATCTGTGATACCTTTCAGAAGCTGTCATTCATTTGTAGTTAGAGGACATTAAAGTTGACTAGTGTATTTGGGAATAGGAGTTGGTATGGTAAAAATGATGGAGATATGAGGGAAGAGAAAGATTCAAGTTTCTTTATTATAGATAATAATATGTATGTAAGAATCTAGGGTAAAAGGTTACACAGGTAGTCTTGATCAGTGTAAAATTCTGGCCCAGAAAGCTCGGTTTATAATTGTTACACTCACTGGCCTCATCTTCCATTCAACCTAGTTAGCAATACTGTGGAGATATATCAGAGAATTAACTTCTTAAAACAATTTTTATTATCATATTATTGTTGTACTGGGAATACATTTTAACAATTACAAAAGTGGTTCCAATATATCTTAAATCCCCCCACCCCGCTATCATTTTCCTTTATCCCTCTCCCCACTTGTCAGAATAGTTTCAACAGGTCTCATTTTCCCATTTTCATGCATGAGCACATAATATTTTCGCCATATTCATTCTCTTTCACCTTTCTTTATATTCTCCCTCTCCCACTGGTACCAACTTGACTTTTTTTTTTTTGAATGGCACTATGCACTGTGCTTTAAAAAAGTCAGTCAGGAGTATTTCAGTGGAAATAATGTGTTAGTATTTAATATGCACTATTACTATATTTTATTTTCATTTATCCATTCTTAATTTTAGTGAGAAGTCTTTATTATATACAGTATAATAGGCCCTAGCCTAGGTAGGAAGCATGCCTCAAATAAGGACTTTGTCTTTAAAAGGCAATAAAGTATAAAAAGTGAGTGGATGGCAGGGTGGTTCTAAGGCAAGTATGTAATGGGAGACCATAGAGAAATGAAAAGAATGATCAGGCTGAGTGCAAGTATCTCACACCTGTAATCTTAGCTACTTAGAAGGCAGAGATCAGAAGGATGGTAGTTTGAGGCCAGGAAGGGGAAAAAGTGAGACTCTGTCTCAACAGAAAAAGTTGGGCATGGTGGTTAATGCCTGTCATCCCAGCATCTATGGAAAGTGTAAGTAAGAGGATCAAAGTCCAGACTGGCCTGGACAAGAAGCAAGACCCTGTCTCAAAAGTAATCAGGCAAACCTGGCTGAAGGCATGGCTCCAGGAGAAGATACCCTACCTAGAAAGCGTGAAGCCCTGAGTTCAGACCCAGTACTGACAAAAAAAATTGGTTATTGGGTAGTATCTACCCAGTTGGCAGTAGGGAAGGGCAGTTACAGAGGAGAGGACCTTTGAATTGAGACCATAAAGACATGAAGAATGAGATAGGTAAGTAAGGAAAAGAACATTTGAGGCACAGAGAGGAGCATGAACAAGACAAGGGTTAAAATAAAATTTCAACAATCATATTGGTATTTGTCAATTCAAAGGTGTGTATATTTTTACATCACAACCTCTCTAAAATCTGGACACCATACCCAAGTTTAATGGGCTGTCCTTGTTCTTACTGGTATAAAATAATGGTTTGCCTTATGGTATGTGACATTTTAGATTTGATGAAGTAGGTATTAATATGCTATGATATGCTATGCTATCAAGTAGCATTTCTTGGGAGTGCTGTTCCAACTACTAACATGTCATTGTTTTAGAGGTAGATAGATACTTGTTTTTATTAAAGAGGAAATAGGCATGAAATGTCTGATTTCCTTACATACTTATATGATGTTCTGTTTGACAGAAAACTTGGCATCTGATAATTGCTTTTAATAGCAGTGGTTGGTAGCCTTGGAACCTGGCAGACAACTGAAGTGTCTTATGTACTGGACTAAGCTCCAAACCATCACATTTCTTTTCCTTTTTTTTTGCGGTACTGGGGTTTGAACTCAGGGCCTACACATTGAGCCACTCCACCAGCTCTTTTTTTGTGATGGGTTTTTTTTTTGAGATAGGGTCTTCCAAAACTATTTGCCTGGGCTGACTTTGAACCTCAATCCTCCTGATCTCTGCCTCCTGAGTGGCTAGAATTACAGACGTGAGCCATTGGCACCCACCTAACATTGCTTTTTTTCTAAGGTAAATAAAAAGTAGAAATGCGCTAGAATTTGGATTTGTAAAGATACTCAGTTTATGATGCATTTAATGAAACTGTACCCTCCATTCTTGGTGTCAAGATGAAGCCCTGATGATAGTTTTATGCATTATGGAGCCAGAGTTTCTGTAGATCTTTCAAAGCACAAGAAGATGAATCCAATATAAGGTGCATGTGGGGAGTAGAGAAAGGTTCTGGTTTGTGTTTCTGAATAATGACAATCTCAGGAATTTCTGTTTTGAGCTAATGATCTTGAAAGGTTTCTAAGGAAGAAATTAAGCATTCCAAGAGCCCAACTTAAGCACACAGGTATCATGAAAACAGACCCAAGTACTATGAGTTTCTGCTGTCATTAAATTCCTGTGTGACCTTGGGCAGATCATATAGCATTTGGTGGCTTCTGCTACCTGACCATGCTGTGACTACCAGTATGTTTGAGATGTGGCTACATTGATGGGGACATGGCACTTGCTCTGATGTCTTGTCCATCTTTTGGTTTTAAGGGCTCTTGGAAGAAAATGACAAGTAAAGGAATATTTTGAGTATTGTTTTTATTTTGGGGAAACAAAATAGGAAATTATGCCTCGTAGGGCTAAGGAAAGTTATAATGACACTTTCCACCTACTTTAATCCCAAATATATCAATAAAAATTGCAGATAATTTTGTGAGAAAATTTTAAGGTAATTTGTTAAAAACTCAGAGCATATTTATTTTCATTTGTTAGAAGTGGGAACACAGTGTACAGTCACTGAGACTTGACCAGATTGACAAAAAAGTATTTGAAAAAGTACATCCATGTAAAAAGAATGTCTAGAATGAGTCAATTATTATTATTTTTTATAAATGAGTCATGGCACTTTTTGCCTTTTTCCTCTTTGCTTTTCACTTTTCCATAATGACATAGTTTTTGTGGGTTTCTTTTTTTTTCCCCCCCTTTGGGAATGTAATCTGTGTCAAATTTAGTTACCTTCCCAAATAAATGTTTTATGGCTCTCTCATCCTGATTTTTTGAAATGGATATGTGTCCAATGACAATGAATTGGAATGAAGAGGAAGAATCAAGGATGGAGAGATGTAGCTAGGCTATAATCTTAAAAAAAAAAGGCTTTGTTGGAAGTGTGGATTTGGAATAAAGTAAAACAGTTAAAAAGGTTTGTTACAGGAATGTAAACTATTTTTGCTGGATGATTCAAGATACTAACTATTCTAGGGGAAAAAAAACTTGGTTTGATACAGGAAATTTCATCTGTCTATCACCTTAACCCTTTAGTTAAGGAAGTTATAAAATATGACTGAATATAATTCTCAAAATATGATTCTCAGATCTACATAGAAGGAGTGAAATTTAACTACATTTTGTTTAAGCAGTGATGATGGAAGGGTTCTGTTGGATCACTATGGCTTTTTAAAACTCAAAAATTGAGAAAGCTTTTTGGTATCATCAATACCAATAAAAAAATCCAAGGACTGTCTTTAAAGATGGTTCCTGATTTAAGTGTGCACATGTGTGTATGTACTGATTTCTGATAAAAGGGACATGAAAGCTAACCTGATTCATTTGTTTTTAGGGGCTCTTGGCTTTGGGGCTCAGTGCAAGTCCATTGGAAAAGGCAGCTGCAACAATCTAGTGGTCACCAGCAGTCCCATGATGGTTCAGCGACTGGGACCCATTTCACCTCCAGCAAGCCAGGTCTCTACAGCATGCAACCAGATCAGTCCTAGCTTACAGAGGGCAATGAATGCAGCCAACCTGAATATACCTCCTTCAGATACCAGGTCTCAAGTTACTTTTTTTTTCCCCCTTCTTTATGGTATAATCACAACCCACAAGTGTTTTCCCTTTCTTCTTGAACATGAACACACAGCTCATACACACACACAGACAGACAGACACACACCCACACGCACACACACTCACACTCAAGCAACTCTTTCAATTTGAGCTTTGGAGGGGAATGTGTCAAAAACTAAGTTTGTGCCATCATAGCCTCTTTATTGGGAGGTATGTTTTCATACCTGTCTCATAGTGTGAGTGAAATAAATGTCCAGTTTGAGATGTAGGGTCCTCAGTGATGAAGCCCAGTGTTTATAGTTGTCAATACCTGGTGAAGCAAATCATGCCAGGGCTTAGCAGATTGGAAATTCCTTGCACACCAATCTTAGCTGCTAGTTTTCTAGTATATATGTTGCAAAGTCTCTAAGCTGCTTTGCAAGTGGTTTTGTCATTCCATCAATCCACCTATCCACCTAAATATGTATTAAGTACCTACTGTTTGTATAAAGTAATAGTTTAGGGAGATAGTAGCGAGAATAAAGATAGAATTAACGAATTTCAAGACTTTATGATGTGTCTGGGAAGACATTTTCATATATGAATTACATAACATTTTAACAAAGTGTTTGGCTAGGTAGCAGAATAAGTAGGTACAATAAATGACATGAATCTATCTCCATGGGGGAGAATTGAATAGAAAACAAAAAAATCACCCCTCAGATAATTTTTTTATCTCTTTCAAAGGTTGATATTGGGGATAGAGCATAAAGCCTAACTACCGTGCAGTGTTTCAACTCTACTTCGTTTTTAGGTTATTTCACCCTTTAGAAGTTATCCTTTTGGAAAAACATAATCAAAAGTTTTGTCCTCTGAGTTCCTTTCTGTCATAACTGTGATCTCGCAATGTTGTTCTCTTCTCTGAGTCTCTGCTTCCTTTGGGGCACTAAAATGCTTCTGGTTCGGAGACCCCATTTCTCCTTTCTTTCCTTTCTCCTGCCCCTCTGTTCCTCTCTTATATTCCTGCCTTATCCTCCTATCTGCCATTTGAGACTCTGAAATCTTAGTTCCTGGATCATTTATTTATGCCAATTTTTTTTCATGAGGTGGAAACTTGTTTTCCACCTGAGACTTTTTGTGATGGGAAGCTGCTGTCATTTTCCCATTGATGATTATGCCTTGAGGGACTCCTCAGACTTGCTGAGTGCGGCATGTAAAATTAACTGTGCTCATGGGTGGGTGTCACTGGGAAGCCTTCAGCTTCCTGTCTGTGGCAAGTCCAGCCCATGCCTTGAAGGCAGTCATAATTAATGGAGAAACTGATGGTATGCAGAGAACAGACTGCTCAAGCCAAGTACTTTCTGCGGTGTCTTTTATGGGTTGGCCAGAGAGGGGTCATTATCTCAGTGTCTTCTGGCATATTTGATTCCTTAGCATAATTTTCTATCCTTAAAAGACAACATCTTAAAGATGCACTGACAAGTGTTTTTGACTATGTATTCTGTGAGCCCTTCTATGGGAATAATTTTACTTTTTGCAGGACGAGTGAAGAAACAGGAGTTGAGAACTGGCTTGGTGAAGGATGGAATCTACATTTAGCAATTTGGAAAGGTCGCATATTATTTGTGATCTTTAAATTGACTTGTGTGTTCCATCAAGGAGAGAAAGGGTATAAGACAATAGTTCAACTTGAAGCCATTTTACAGTCTAGAGCTAAAGAGAAGATGGTGAAGTAATCAGCCTGCTTGTGTGTGTGTGTGGTGAGGAGGCATGAACTGTACAGTCTGAGAGATGCCTGCCTATGAGAAGTTGCAAAATTTATTGCTTTTTTCCTGATTACTTATATAATTCCTATTCATTGTAGAAAATGTGGACTATGTGGAAAAGCACCAAGCAGTAAATGGTAGTCTTCTTGAATCCTAATACCCACAGACACCCATGGGTGGAACTTTGATCTATATCCTTCCAGTTTTATGCAAATTCTTATCTCATAAGCATTGGCTTTCCTGTCTATCAAATTAGCCTTATGATTGACATAGTTGTATAACTATTTTTTCAGCTTATATATTATAAAGTCTTGTAATAAAAGTCTTCTTTAGTCTCATATAATAGTTCTTTCTGCCCCAAATTCCATTTTATATAGAAAGCATAGAAATAAAGATGTAATTCTTACCACACTTTTATTACTGGGCATTTAGTTCTTTCTCCTTATATTTAGTATTGTAAATAATGCTTTATTGAATTAACTCTATAAATCTTTTACTGAGTATCTGAAGTTATTAAAATGAATTCCTAGTAGTATCATTTGTTAGGTTAAAAGAAACATGAAGTTTTGGTGCTTTTGATATGTATTTTTAAATTGTGCTGCAGAGAAAACCTATTTATAAACTTATCAATAGACTATTTTCTTAGACCTTATCACCTATTAGGTATTATTATTTTTATAAGTTTTGCCAGTTTGAGGTACAAAATGTTATTTTATCTTAACTTATATTTCCTAATTATTGATAATAGTTTTCGTGGATTTATTGGATGTATTTCTTCTTTTCACTTCATTTAAGTATATTTTTCTCCTGGGGTACTTATCTTGGATAAGTACTTCTTTTTTAGCTTTGTTGACTTCTGTTTAATCTAATGCTGAGAACCACAGTGTACTGCTGTGCATTTGCTTTAATTTATTCCCAGACATTTCTAACTAGGCTGCCTAATGGTAAATGCAAACTGTACCCTATTATGTTGAAAATCTGGGGCCACTGTTAATTTAGGCATTACCTAAACTCTTTACTATAAGAAGATATTGTATATATTTCCCCTAAATGACAGAATTGAAGTACTGATAACATAACCTCATATAGTGGTTTCATATCCTAATCTAGAAAAGTAGAGCTATAAAAGAGATGGGATGCTGTTTGTGTGGGCTTTGGATATATTTAGTTTTTCTGGTGTTTCTACATGCATTGTGATTCTGCATTTTGTGATCAGATATTCATACTATCTGCAAGTATCATCCCTGTTGAAGACATGATGGAACAAAGACATGGAAAGTCTAAGTTCTTTGCTTCGTGTCACCTACATTGTCAGGCACAAAGTTCAGCTATTGGCTAATGATGTCACTCTAGATCCCAAAAACCACTACATTTATCTCTTTATCTTCTAAGCCAGAAATTCTTGGAGGTAATTGCCTTTTTTGTTTGAGTGTGTAAACAAAGCTTAGAGAAGGCTAAGGGGCTGAGAATGGACTCTGGGCTCCCTTTTAGTCCTAACATTTTATAAAGCCATCCTGTGTTCAGATTCAGTGCTAATTCTTGTGCGATATTTAGTGAGGCATGTAGACAAGAATTTCCAGGTAGACTAGGATTGATTTTCATTTCTATGATCTATGAACTTATGAAACATACACATATTCTTCTAAGTATCAGCTTGAGGAATTCCATGTGATCTTTAAGTTAGAACTTCTTTTAAGCTTGGCATTGACCAAAGCAGTTCAGGTTGGTCTACATAACTCTTATGACTCCATGAGTTACACAGTTGTCACTTCATCAGCCATCCTAATCTTTTTTTCCTGATGGTTTCTGAGTTTTTCATATTGCTTCTATTTTGTTTGAGATGTATCTCCTTTTTGGTCACATATATTTCCAAATAAACCAGTCGACGCAAATAATGTCCTTAGGATCAGATGAACATATGGAAATTGAGATTGTTCTCAGCAGCTCTCTGAATCTTTGTCACTTTCTTTCCCACAGGCTTGGTGCGTGTAACAGTAGGGGTTACAGGCGAGAATCTTTGGCAGCCTTCACACTCATTGAACATATTGTTGCAGAAAGAACAGAAAATTTGTGTTCCACTCATAGCTTGTGTGGCTTTAAGCTCATTTTGTCAGGTCTTTCCAGTAGGCAGATCATTATGAACCATGTGTAGGGTAAACAACAGAGAACGTATGTGATACGGTTATGTCTCTGCCTGTCAAACACTGTTTTATTTGTACTTCCCCAAGGACTTTGCCCCATTCCCCCTGCCTTTTTGGTATCCTTAGGAGGAATTTCATAGAACTTCTGTTGTATTTTTAGTAAATGCTATTTAAAAAATACAGTTTATTACTTCATATTCTGTGTCAAATAACAAATAGGAAAATACCTTATAAGCTACAAAAATGGTTAGTTATCATTATGAACATTTATTCACTTTCTTTTGAAGAGAGCATGGTCTTACTATATAGCCCAGGCTGGCCTTGAACTCTCAATCCTCTCCTGCTTCAGCCTTCTGAGTGCTGAGGTTACTACAGGCATGAGCCACTATGCCTGACTTTTTGTTTACTTTCTTAATCAACCATTTTTGAGAATTTGGCATACGTCTAACACCCTGGTTGGTATGGGAGAGATAGCATCATCCCTTCAGCTGAAAGACTTTCTTTTATTGAGGAAGATAACCACGGATGCTTCAAGGTGTGATGCAGACAGTATATGACTTCTTTGGAAAGAGAACTCTTGGTGAGAGCTAGCACATAGGGGAGAGATTTTATGGATTGGAACTTTGAAAGAGTAAAAGGTATGGGTGATTGCATAGGAGGGAGCCTGACTTCTAGGCAAAGGGCATTTGTTGTAAGTTTTGTTCCTATTGGGTGTCTGAGATGGGGATGGGGGACCAGGTGTCATACTCTGTTTGTGCTGTTGCTTTAATGATAGAATATAGAACTTGCCTTCTGAAAAACATGACAACTGTCTTAGAAACAGAGATGCCCAAGGAGTTAAACAAAATGTCTGTACAGGGTTATGCTTGGATTTAAATTAAGCCACAGTTAAGCATAATTTGAGAGAAGCAAGAATCATTTCTTAATAATGAAACAATGAACTTATCTCACTATAGGTTGCCCTCAAACCAAATAATGTAATTTCATAGGCAAGGCAAAATACCCTGTGGGTAAAATACCCTGTTAGTCATTGCTTAAAAGTCTGAAGTGTTCTAACATGACCTTGACAGGCAAATGTACCTCCTGAGAATGGAGCCATGGGCATCCACCAGAGCCACTCTGGTAAAGCTCTGGATCTTGGTACTCTGTAAGCCCTCTTGTCCTCAGGATATAAAGCAAAGTCAGTTGTCTCTGCTTCCGGTTGACATAAGTACTGATTTAGCTTGGGTCGGAAAGCTGGGGAAAAGACCAAAAGGCCCTTGACGTCTAATCACCAGGAGCCTTCTGTTGAGCTTTGCAGGAAGAACCACATGCTCAAGTGTGCTAGGGAAATAATTGGAAAGTTTCCCTGAGGAATTAAAAGAACAGATGGTTCAGAAACCACTTTGGGGTTTGAAGAAGGACTTCAACCCAAATGTAAGGATGTGGACCAAGAAAAAAATCTGTTTGAAGGGCAACTGGACATAAATTCCTGCTGTGTTTGTCATTGGTAAACATTACTACACCTGATGGTAACTACATGTCAATTACAGTATTATCCCCTTACACTGTGCCTTTCAGAGCTGACCTGTTTTCTTGGTAATGCCCCATGCTTGCGTGAAATGGTGTTCCTGGCTTCCATTTTGTGAAATGGAATAAGAGGAACAGGTGCAATGAAATACTCGTCTTTTCCCTCAGTTCCTTTGAAACAGATTTATGTTTATCAGCTGGAGACAGAAAATGTGTTGATTTGGGGAAGACACACTTTATATAGCATTTGTTGTGATTAATTTTTTTATCAAAAATACCAGTAAAAATCCAGTGTAGGTACATTTAAATAAACCAGGCTTTTCTGCTATACACTGGGTCTGAGTTGGGGAATACACTGCCTATTCTATACGTCTATATGTCTAGCCTATTTTTGATCAATTTTCTGTCCAAGGGACATAGCTTTTCTCTTCAGTTCATTTTAGGGTAGCCATGTCACAGTAAAGCAAAGTGAATTCTCAGTGGACCAGAGCTACATCATGAACCATTTTGATATGCAGACAATATTTTGTGACACATTAAAGCCTGTTTTCTAAAGGATAGAACAAGAAAGGAATGGTCACAAACATGACCACTGAACATGAATGTTCTACTCTCAGCCCAAAGCTGCTCTGACTTCAGGACAGGAGCTCACAAAAAACTCAAGACTAACAAGTGTGGTTACATCCTACAATGCCATAATGCACAACTTCAGATATGACACAGTTGCATTTTCTTACTTCCTTATATATTCTAGCTGTATTTAATTTTATTAAAAAATTTCTTTGAATGTGAGGGATGGAACCCAGGGCCTCCTGCATTCTAAGTGTGTACTCTACCACTGACTACACCCCCAATCTATGCATTTCCTATTTTCTTAATTTACTGTCATGATTAGATGTGACTGAGTATTGACAGTATAAATTGCTGTTTTTGTTTTTTTTTAAAAAAGCTTAATAATTTGCTAATACCAGTGAAACTAAATTGTGAAATTAAGTCCCCTGTACAATCCATAGATTTTAAAGATAATACTTTTTGTTAATATTACCTCCCCAAGTAGAAGACTTTATTTTTTTTTTCATGGCAATTATAAATTATTAGCCTGATCTCAACTGACTCTTTTTTTTTTTTTTCATTTTTCTTTTATTATTCATATGTGCATACAAGGCTTGGTTCATTTCTCCCCCCTGCCCCCACCCCCTCCCTTACCACCCACTCCACCCCCTCCCGCTCCCCCCCTCAATACCCAGCAGAAACTATTTTGCTCTTATCTCTAATTTTGTTGTAGAGAGAGTATAAGCAATAATAGGAAGGAGCAAGGGGTTTTGCTGGTTGAGATAAGGATAGCTATACAGGGCATTGACTCACATTGATTTCCTGTGCATGGGTGTTACCTTCTAGGTTAATTCTTTTTGATCTAACCTTTTCTCTAGTTCCTGGTCCCCTTTTCCTATTGGCCTCAGTTGCTTTAAGGTATCTGCTTTAGTTTCTCTGCATTAAGGGCAACAAATGCTAGCTAGTTTTTTAGGTGTCTTACCTATCCTCACCCCTCCCTTGTGTGCTCTCGCTTTTATCATGTGCTCATAGTCCAATCCCCTTGTTGTGTTTGCCCTTGATCTAATGTCCACATATGAGGGAGAACATACGATTTTTGGTCTTTTGAGCCAGGCTAACCTCACTCAGAATGATGTTCTCCAATTCCATCCATTTACCAGTGAATGATAACATTTCGTTCTTCTTCATGGCTGCATAAAATTCCATTGTGTATAGATACCACATTTTCTTAATCCATTGTCAGTGGTGGGGCATCTTGGCTGTTTCCATAACTTGGCTATTGTGAATAGTGCTGCAATAAACATGGATGTGCAAGTGCCTCTGGAGTAACAGTCTTTTGGGTATATCCCCAAGAGTGGTATTGCTGGATCAAATGGTAGATAAAATAAAATAAAATAGATAATACTTTTTTTAAATATTACCTCCCCAAGTAGATTTTTCTTGAAGATTCTCTTTAGACTTGTATGCCCTGCAAAGCCTACCACATCACGCTGCACACAGTAGGTGATTAACAAATACTTGCTTGTTTGCTTTGCCTGGATAGTCATCAATAATTTTTCCCAAGCCTCTAATTTCCCCCTATATTAAAAAAGATATTTAAAAATAAAGCAAGGCTTATTTATTATTGTTAAAGTACTAAGATTATTTATAACAGTAGATCTTTTGTTTTATTATTTCAGTAAGCATTAGCTTTTATTGTTCTTCTTAGTAAAATACTATTTACCTGGAACTAAAAGCCTTGGATTTTATCTTAGCTCAAGAATGTGTGTTTAGTGGAGAATGTAATTAGGGGAAATACTTAAGGGATTGTCAGTGCAATGTTCTTTTAGCTCTTAAGCAATCCATATCTTGCTAAAATGTTTTTGGTTTTTTTTTTTTTTTTTCCTTCCCTTCTGGCTGCTGTTCAGGTCCCTTATTTCACGGGAGTCTCTGGCGTCCACGACGTTGAGTTTGTCGGAGAGTCAGTCGGCCTTGAGCGTGAAACAAGAGTGGTCACAAAGCTACAGGTCTCTCCCTTCACTTTCCTCCAACCACAGCTCTCAGAATGGCGTTGATCTAGGGGACCTCCTTAGCCTTCCTCCCGGGACATCCATGTCTGGCCATAGCATCTCTAACTCATTGCCACCCTACCTTTTTGGCATGGAAAATAGCCACTCTCCGTACCCTAGTTCCCGACACTCATCCACCAGGTCCCACTCAGCCCGCTCAAAGAAGAGAGCGCTCTCTTTGTCCCCGCTGTCTGATGGCATCGGCATAGACTTCAACACCATCATCCGCACCTCGCCCACGTCCTTGGTCGCCTACATTAATGGATCGCGGGCTTCCCCAGCCAACATGTCCCCGCAGCCGGAGGTCTACGGGCATTTCCTGGGAGTGCGTGGCAGTTGCATTCCCCAGCCGTGCGCGGTGCCCAGTACCCAGAAGGGCGTACTGGTGGCCAGTGGGGGACTGGCACTGCCCACCTATGGCGAGGATAGCACACAGGAGTATGAGCGCATGCAGCAGCTGGAGCACGGTGGCCTGCAGCCCGGGCAGGTCACCAACATGGTGGTGCAGCACAGCCTACCAGCTGATGACCAGCCGGCCAGCATGCTCAAGACTGAGCGTCTGGAGGAATTCCCAGGCAGCTCACTAGACTTGCCCTCTGCACCCCCTCTCCCTCCTCTGCCACCACACCAAGGTCCCCCACCCCCCTACCACGCCCATCCGCACCTTCACCACCCAGAGCTCCTGCCCCATGCCCAGTCACTGGCCCTGCCCCAAGCTGCCCTAGATGATGAAGGCGAGATGGACGACGTTGGGGGCAAGCACTGCTGTCGCTGGATAGACTGCAGTGCCTTGTATGAGCAGCAGGAGGAACTGGTGCGGCACATCGAGAAGGTCCACATAGATCAGCGCAAGGGGGAAGACTTCACTTGCTTCTGGGCTGGCTGCCCTCGAAGGTACAAGCCCTTCAACGCCCGCTACAAACTGCTGATCCACATGAGGGTGCACTCCGGGGAGAAGCCCAACAAGTGTACGGTGAGTTTCTGCCATCTTTCTACAAAGCCCAGCTTGCTTTTTATGCATGTATTTCTTCAAACTTGGCCTACAGGTTAGGGGACAGGTTCTTCTTTTGTGCAGTTTGGATGTGAGGTGTTTGAGGTATCCATGAGACTGGCCATCTCTTCTGTGATTGGCGGCTGTTGGTTTTTCTTCATTTCTAGGTTTTCTTCTGCAGAGGTGCATGACCCACCACCCTAAGGGAGGCCAATCTGCCACACTGTCCAGAACTGTGGACTTGGAGTTTCCTTAATGTGTGTCGGTCGTTGTGCAAGAGCAGAGGAACACACACTGAACCATGAGCAAGCTTTAGCTCTTTTTCAAAGCAAATATTCAGTGATTTTTCTTTCCCTCCAATAACTGGACAAGAATTGGGGTAGGGGAAGGGATGGTTTTGATATTTAAGAAAGGAGCCCACCACTTAGCAACTAATTAAAAGTGCTGCATGTATCACACATCTGTACACTGTACCTTGCAAAACCAGTTAATGACTTATAGACAGCCCAGGAAAATCAGAGAACACCACTGGGTGTCCAGTACAGAGCAGAACCTCATTGGTCTCACCAATTTTGAGGAGAGGGGGTTTTGTACAATGGTATAAAGAGTAAGAGTTGAGAAGGGAGTGTGCCTTTTGTGTTGAAAGAAATGGCCTGATGTCTCTTTCTCTTGCCTCCCTCTTTCCCAGCATCCACCCTGGAACTCACTCTGTTTCTTGGCAAAATTTACTATTTTTGAATAATATGATTCTAAAATGATTTCACACCTCACAGAAACCCTAAGGTTTTACAACCAGGACATCACCCTTGGGATCACAGGGATGGCTTTGCACAATCTCAGACGGCTCATTTAACTCTTGGAACCAGAAGAGCATATGTTTTATATTAGTTTAGATGGACAGGAATATTTCTTCAGAGTTAAAAATCTGAGAATTCTATGTGCTTCCTGGATAATGAGTATGCTGGAGGTCACTAAATGTGTGAACTATATAAATCACTTTGAAATGGAACTTATTTGGACTGCGATCTCCCAACTAGTGTCCCTTCTTTCTATAGTATGTCATGATATAAAGAATCTGGACCTTGTTTATTTGATTTTAGATTTCCCAAGCTCTATAATTCATGTAAAAGCAAACCAAACAGGTGATAGCTGTAATGCAGTATTAGAAGCACTTTTTCCAGTAGGTATGTTTGAAAGAGTTTTTAGAATTTCTGGCGGAAAGAAATTGCATTTTTTGTCCCATGTTGTGATTTTTCTTAAGGAAAACCTGAACCTGATACATTGTGAGAATGCCAGGTTCTATGAGTGAAAAGAATAATTACATTCCAGGAGGCAAAACCTTACTCTGCCAGTAGGGTTCCACATTAAAAAAGAGACAAGCAATTGAAGGCAATCCCATTTCCCCTGTTTGGAACACACCAGCCTATTGCAAGCAGGAAAGACATTCAGTCTCTGAAGGAAAACAGTCCAACCTTTCAGTTCTGACTAATCCTGGCTGAAAATAGTTTACTGGATTTGGCTTTACTGAAATAAACATAAAGGCTTAAATTATCTGAAAAATATTTTTTGCATTGCAAAATTAATTTTATGCAGTAGGATTTCCCCATTTTCCCACTGTTACAAGACTTTTCAAAAACACATAACTTTATAAAGTTGACTTTTGCTAAAGTGCGTGATGATAATAAAAATAGTTGAGTGAAAAAATAAGCTGGAAGGTGGGCATTTACAGGCCTCTGCACAGCGTTACATTGTGTTGTTCCAGACAGGTATGGGAGGGGTCTTTCTCTCCTAATCTGCCTACTCCTCATTTATAGATGGAATCCGCGCAAAATTCAGATGATTAATTTTATAACATTTCAAATCTAGAATAAGAAACTGTTTCATTACATGTTATTGTGCAAATACATTTATACAAAGCAGCGTTTCCTAGAGCTGAGTAATGCTGCAGTTCTAGTTCTTTCTTTCTTAGCAGAAAGACATCCATTTTCATATAAATCTATATGTTATAAACCTCAGGTCTTCTAAAACCATTATGTTGCTACACATCTCATATGCTTAATTTGTAGCGCTATAGCCAAATGGCAGTAAGTTATTTTGCTGTGGAAGTTAAGAGTCTTCTCAAGTTGTAGTCTATGGATAGGAAACATTGTGCTTTTAAAATGGATGTACTTCTGAAAAAATGTATTTTTCTCTCTTTTGCAAAATAAGTCTTTGCAATCTTGCAATCCAAATACAAAGAACTTTTAACACTGCTTAAAAATCAGAAGGTAGTTGATTCAAAGTTAAATATCCTTGCCAAGTTAAATGACCTCTTTTGAAGAAGTGGTCTTTGGGTTTTTGAGGCTGTGTCACATGCTTCAAAGGCTAGGAACATTTCAAATTAGAATACCCAGTCCACTTTTGTTTTAGCTGCCATTACTTTTCTGTATATGATATTAGAGTTAGTCATCATTTTCACTTACTGGGCTTATTGACCCAAGAAAGGGATGATAACCCCTTTGTTTGGTGACCATGACTATAGCAGCACAAGTTGTTTGTGGAAGTTATGGTAAAAGGAGGGTGTATCTGAGGACTAGGGCCTGCTTACAGTAAGAGGCTGCCTCTGGTGTCTTCTTGCAATGCCAAATTTCCTTTCCTGCTTGGGAGAATGCACTTTTAGAAAGAACCTCTGACCAGAGGTACCCAGAACTCTGGGATTCTTATCACTCAGGGTTCTAGGTGGCAAATCTAGGGGAGGATTGTGAATTAATTATTTGGTTCTATTACTGGCTGAAGAGTTTTGAAAACTCTTTTCCCACCCAAATGACCCCACCCTTCTATAGGTCTAACTCTTATTGCTTCTGTGGAAAGCTAAACCAGCTGCTTTGTCTGCAAACCTGGCTTAATGATCGTGATACTCCAAGCCAGTAGCAAAGGCCTAGCAAAGGTCTGGGCAGACAAATAGGCAGACATCAGCTAGATCAGAAACTGGGATGTGGCACTATTATATTGAAAAATACCCAGGTCCATTCCCTGCTCTCTATTAACTAAAGCAATTTGTAGGTGCCAGCCATTCCATTTCGACTTTCCTGAGCTTAAACCAACAACAACCTTGGTAAATCTTGGAGTTTTCAAAACTGTTGAGGACTCTCAGGTACAACTCTATGGAATTCTGTTAAGTTTTGTGAGATGGACTCTCAAGTTAGAACAAGTCATGGAGTCTTGGAATTTGTTTCCTTTTGAAACCCCTATTTCATGTTCCTAAGAGAATAACACAAACTGAAACCCAAAACCATAGACAGACACTAACCCTAACCATGCCTAACAGTATCCATAGTAACGATTCCAATAGAGTGCACACTGAGAATGTTTTTGCCGTACTTAGGTGACTTTGCCATTTAGTTGAAGGGTAGGCAACATCTGGTGATGTCCCAGTGAGGTGCATTCTGAATGAGATGGAACACACTCTGTCTGTGAGTGTTTGTGCCAAGAATGCCTAGCTGAGCAGGGCAGTGTGAGCAGGGTCCTGGAATTCTGTAGCCAGGGTCAGAAACATGGAACCTTGCCCTTGTGCACGATTGAAAGCAGTTGTGTTGGGAGGTGGGCATGTTAATAAGGGAATTAGGGGCAGTGCGGGTTGCCACTTAAATTTTGCTTATTTTTCCTGGATGAGTTTTACCCAATAGCAAAAAAGAATTTTGCAAAACTTTTACCCACCCACAGATTTTCATGAAAATGTCACTGACCAAAGACAGTTTTGAATTTTGTATGAATTGACTCATTTCTCCACAGGCATTTTTGCCTGGTAAAATCCAGTGTATTTACTTTGGCTTGAATATTTGGGCAGTTTGCTTTTTAAGTAACATTGGATTATGAACACAAGAAAATAAATGCAGAACTGGGGCCATGTCCCCTCTTCTCTTTGTGGCCTGATGTATGTATAGATTCACGGTCCAGGTTTGGCCATGTAGGTTATTTCTTAAAGAAGTGGAAATTCATTGTAAGCTGTAGAAAGAGTTTTTTTTTTTGATCCTTTATTTTGTGGTTTTGATAAGGCCTGGCATTGGTTTGTGACCACAATTTCATGATCAGAGGGATCTTAGGAAAATATTACCTAAATGTAACTATTAGTTAATGCTTCAGAACCTTAATATTGGCAAAAATGTGGGTGCAAAGTATTGATAAGGTTATAGTGAATGGGGAATATGTTGACATTGCTGGAAAAAGTAAATCGGTGCAGCCACTTCAGTGAGCAGTTGCTCTTGGGAATATCAAGTAGGGTTAAAGATGAGCATATCCAATAAAACCAGTTCTAAGTATCTAGCCAGGAACTCTTGCATGTGATGGCAAGGAGACCTGAGAAAAGATGTATTTGTGTTTTTAAAAATGTGTATATAATCTATGCACAGATAAGGTAAACCAATAAACTGTGATGTATTCCTAATAAAATAATATAAAGGAGTTTAAAAGTAATGAAATGCATGCAAATATATCCATATTACAAATCTCAAAAAGCAAGGTTGAGTAAAAATTTATATGCAAAGGATATGCAACATAATACAATTTACATACATTTAAATACACAAAAGTATTAGTTTTGCAGATACATAATTATGTGGTTAAACAAGGAAATCCTATGGGCAGGGTAACCAGTAACCTTAGGAGAGTGGATATTTATAGAGTGGAAAGAAATAGGAAGAAATAGAATGTGGAGATTTTATCTTCTTTCCAAAGAGAGAGAACTGAAATAAATATGGCATTAATTTTGTTTTAACTCAGTTGTGATAATACAGATGTCATAGGTGTCTGTTACAATGTTTTGCATACTTCGCTGTCTATTTGAAATGTTTCATAACTATAAGTGTATTTTTATCCTAAAATAAAAGAAAATCATTAGTATAACACTCTTAAGTTCCTTCCACACATACCATTTTTTTTTATGAGAACAGAGCCTAGGGAAATTGATTTCTCCAAGATTATTAAGTTATTTAGCTGCTCTTCAC